CCACAGAATCTGTTAATGTAATAGTAGCTGCTTTGTATCACTGAGTCCTGAGGACATTTAGGATACAGCCAGCACAACTGAAACATACAAGGTGCATATGTCAATGTGTGGTTGCTACATTGTTGCTACATTTTTGTAGAACTGCCTCATAGGATTCCAGAGGCAGACAAACTAGGAAGAAGGATTGACAACTACTTCCAAATCTTTAGTCACTGAAAACTTTATGAATATCAGAGAAACACTGTCAAGATCTAGTGCTGGAAAATGAGCCACTCAGGTTGGAAGGCACTCAAAATATGACTGGGGAAGAGCTGCCTCCTCAAAGTAGAGCTGACCGTGATGATATGAATGGAGTAAAGCCTGCGGGAGAAAAGCCTGCTCAGGATGAAAGGAAGAGAAGGTGGAGGGTCAGAGAAAAAGGAGGAAGACCTCCAATGAGATGGATTGGCCAAGTGGCGGCATTGATGGACTCAAGTGTGGCAACAATAGTGAGGTTGGCCTAGGATCGGGCAGTGTTTCGTTCTGCTGTGCATAAGGTCGCTATGAGTCAGTACCGACACGATGACACCTAACAACAACACGCCTCTGAGTGGACCCAAACCACCAACCTTTCAGTTAACAGCCAAACAGGATGATCATTTGTACCAGCCAGGACCTCCGTCAGTATCACTAGATCTGAAAGTATTTTTTAAGATGAAAGCAAGAACACATATACGATACTGTTTCATAGATGTAATAAACAAAAGCAGGGAATTGAGATGGAGTGGAGTAGGGGAGGGGCTAAAGAAATTGGGATGAGGGATAAAGGAGTAAACCAGCGATAAAATTTCTGTAGAAATGGACATTGTATAAAATTATTCCAAAAGAAGCAGCTCATGAAAAGGAAATGAAGTGTGGAGAGGTATGTACTATGCTGCCCACCGAGAGCGGTGCTCTTGGGATTTATCCTAGTTGTCGACACACACACACACACACACACACACAACGTTTGTAGGGGCATCTTAGTCTACCAGCCCTGAAGCAGATACTGGGAACATAGAGATGACTAGGCACAGTACTAGCCAAAGGCAGTTCCAGGCCAGTGGAGAAGCTCTCTCTCTGGACTGCTTTTAGGATCGTTTGGGGGAGCTTTCTAAAGTGGCTCCATGGTAGGAGTGACAGATACCCACAGCTGGCCCTGGAGTGGAGAGGCGGTGGTGTAAGGAAGGACAGAAGTGGACAGAGATAAGTGATGAAGGATGGAGATGACCTGGGAGTGTCTTTTCACAGAAAAGGGGAGGGAGGGGAGAAGGGGAGGACACCCTGCTCTCTCCAGATTTCTGTCTAGTGGCCAAAGGCGACCAGAACTCTTGGGTCCTGGTGCCAGGAGTGCCAGAAACCCTTGCTCAGGGTGTCCACGCTGAGGGGTCACTCTTGGAGAGAGCGCACCAACTCAGAACAGCCAGCTTCTCAGACAGGACTTGCAGGCCACGTCCCAGTGCAAAACCCGCAAAACCGTCCGCAGTGAGACATCATCCGCTCCCAGAGCACAATCTCCAGCCTTCAACTGGGCACTGGGGGGGGGGGGAACCAACCAAAACACCCACGGAAACAGTGGCCTGTAGGCTGTAGGCTCTCTGACACCTTCCTATAGCCCTTCCACCCAGCCCACCCCACCCTACTCCCATGTTTCAGCAGGCATCAGAGGCCCCGTTATCCAGAACGGATCAGGGACCGGCTGTCCAGGCGCACCAGCCGCAGTCATGTACCCGGCAGATGGGCTCCAATCTCCTAGGTGCAGCATCCCCTCCCCCAAGCTCTGCCCCAAAACAGTGGGATGATACTCTTTGAGCGCTCAAACCCGTACAAAAACCAGCCTGGACTCTCTAAGTCTCCGCTCCAGACAGCCTAGTACCAGCCCGGGCGCTTCTTTTCCTAAAATTACAGTAGAGGGAATTGAGGATCAGAGAGGTGCACATGTATCCCAGGGCTGCACAGCATGGCAATGGAGGTGACTTGAAGAAAACACACTTTGAGCAAAAGCAGCTCAGAAAAGGGAGTGGCTTAGGAGTGGTTGAAGTTCAAGGGTTAAGGTGGGGAGTGAACACGGGTGAACCTCAGGTAACCTGCATAGATAGCTAAGCACCCAGACACCCCCTTCCACCCATCCCCACTGCCAGGGAGCCCCAAGGTGGGTGACATCTGAAAGAAATCTTGTCTTTTTATCAAGGACCCTATCTAGCCTTGAAATCCTATGTTGTTGTTAAGTGCTGTCATGTCTATTTCTGACCCATAGGATTTCCGAGGAGCAGATGGTGAGCTTGAACCACGGCCCTTGCAGTTCAAACGGCTTTGCGGTCTAGTGCATTTACCCACAGCGCCACACCAGGAAATCCTACACCGGGTCACTATGAGTCAGAATCACCTGGACAGCGCTTACAACTCTGACCTCAGAGACTCAGAGGCATGGGCCCAGGGCCAACACTTCTCCAAATGGACATGTGGTCATTCTGTCCCCTTGACCAGACCCCCTCCGCTGGGATCCCCAGATGCCCCAGATAGCCCAGAGAGCAGGACTTGGAGGTCCCAGGTCTTCCCTAGACCCTGACTCACTGTGCCTCAGTGTCTTCTCTGCCCTTTGAGAATAAAAAGGCCCAAATTGGCGGCTGCTCCAGGGTGGCATTCAGTAGTACCCGTGAGTCCTCGGTGATTGATAATGAGGGTCTGAGTATGGGACTGGGCCTGAATTTTATTTTCCACAATGGGAAGTTGTATGGGTGAAAAGGAAACCAAAATGGTACAGTTAGTTACCGCCAAGTGATGATAGCAACTCTCTATCTCTATGTTACTGCCCCCCAGACTTTCCAATGGCTGAGATCTTTACTGAAACAAACGGCTGGTAGATTCTAAGCACCCATCATTACCATCCAATCAACTCTGATCACAGCTGTTCTGTAAAACACAGTAAAACTGCCCACAGGGTGTGATCTCTACTGGGAGCAGACAACCTCATCTTTCTTCTGCTGCTGGGTTTGAACTGCTGACCTTTCTGTGGTGTGCTTTAATGATGTGCCACTAGCTAGCTGCTATCTTTTGCTGTTGTTGTGTCTTGTGAAGTCGGTTCAGACTTATAGCAACCTTGTATGCAGTTTCTGAGAGTGGCTGATGTGCTCGAACTGTCGACCTTGCAGTTAACAGTCCAGTGCTTATCCTACAATACCATATCAGGGCTCGACAAGTCACTGTTTATTAAGCACTTTACTACTTGTGGGCACCAGGACACCTCGCCCTGGGTTTCTGTAGCAAAGACAAACAGGCTCGGCGCAGCCGGTGGCGCGCAGGGGTAGTACTTGGTGCAACGTCTGGTGTGCAGCAGATCCGTCCTACCCACCCTGGTACCCACCGCAGAGACTACTGATTTGTGCCCACGCGACTAAGGAAATGACGCCTAACCGGCCCGGCGAGGCCAAGGTCGTGTAGTCAACGTGTATCAGAGGCCCTTCCCTGACGATCCCGGCCGCGCACCTGACCTCACACGGCTCCTAGGCCTACATGCCCAGATGGCCGCTGCGCCCCTCCCCCGCGCTCGGGGTGTGGATGTGGGCGCGCCGGGGGTGTAAAGCATCGGCGTTCCAGGCCTGCGGGAGTCACTTACCAGCTGGGCAGTCTCCCCTCTCCTCTCACAGCCCCGTTTTCCTTATGGAAAATGGGGGTGATGGTCCCTCCACCGTGGTTGCTCCAAGACTAAACCCAGGCAAAAATCTGGGGCCTGCAGCCGCCCTCTGCAACGCGGCGACACTCGGATTGAGCCAGGGCCCTGTCTGGCATCGGGGCTGGAGTCGTCTCTCCGCGATGACCCGCGTCCGGTGAAGCCGGTTCCAACCATGCCTCCGGACTGCGTCCCGGTGACTGCGTCGCCCTCTCCCGATGTCGCATGGTCAGAAGTTTACTCCAGAAGGGTCACCGCACCCAGGGCGGATGAGGTGCGGGGGGACATGTCTGTCACCGCGCTCCGGGCCTTAGAAATGCGGGGGACTCCCCAGCGAGGACTCTTGGACGTGCAAAGAGCTGTGGGGCCCGCCTTCAAGGCTACCGTCTGCAGGGCTTTAGCGGGACTAGAAGCTCCGGTTCTTCCTAAAGCCTGGACCGCGTGTGAAAGGGGCGGTGGGAGTGTGAGCGCAAAGGGGATCCGCTCTCACCCTAAGCTACATCCGGCGGTTCACTGCGAGAGAGAGCCGGGGGCTGGCACCTTTTCGCACACAGAGACTGCGTCTGGGAACCAGAGTTCTACTGCATCGCATCTGGCCAGGAAAGCGTATTTCGTTCAATACAGATATTTTTTAAATGTGCCTCAGTTCTGCAGCTTGGTTCTGGCAGTTTACTCATTTGAAAACGACACTCGGTTATTTAAAAACTAAAAAACGATTGTGGCCTAGCTTCTGGCCGTTTCTTGTGAGCTCCAGGATCTTCGCGCCCCCTCTGAGCTCACGCACACCCTCCGGAGCAAGAACAGTGACCCCGATGTTCCTCGAGCCTCTGCCAAGGGTAATTACGACCCCCACAGCCAATGGGCGACCGCGCCGCCAGGCCCCGCCCCCACACGGCGCGGGTGGTGCGTCCCGGGAACAGATCAGGAGGGGCAGCCCGGGCCCTTCGGGCCCCTAGCCGCGCCGCCGCTCAACAGCCTGCCAGTCAGGCCCCCGCGCTAGCGCTCAGGCCCGCTAGGCGTCCGCGGGCGGTGCTGGCGGCCCGGCCCCGCCCCTGACTCCTCCCCTGCCCTTCCCCCTGTGTCCCCGCGGGCAGCAGGGCGACCAGTGCTGCGACCCGGAGGCCAGCGAGCGCGGCTGCCGGGCGGCTGTCGGAGGCACCGCTCGGCCAGCGCAGCGCGCTGCCAGCCCTCAGGACCCGACGCCGTCTTCAGAGCGTTCTGTGCCGGGCCGCCGCGTCCGCCGCGCCCGCCAAGTCCCGGGCACCCGAACCGGAGCCGCACGCGCTAGGGGCCCGGACTGGCCAGCGGCGCAATGCCGGACGAGCTGACGGAGCCCGGGCGCACCACGCCGGCCCGCGCTTCATCCTTCCTCATCGAGAATCTGCTAGCGGCTGAGGCCAAGGGCACTGGGCGCGTGGACGAAGAGGGCGAAGACGACGACCCGGAGGACAAGGCGCGGCGGCGACGGCTGCAGCGGCGGAGACAGCTGCGCTCCGGGCCAGGCGGAGAGGCGCGGGCCCGGGCACTGCTCGGCCCTGGGGCTCTGGGCCTTGGGCCCCGGCCTCCGCCCGGCCCTGGGCCACCCTTCGCTCTGGGGGGCGGCGGCGTGCAGCGCTGGTTCCCGCGAGCTCACGGAGGCTACGGAGGTGGCTTAAGTACTGACAGTGAGTTCCAGCGTGGGCCTGGGGGATGGGGTCTTGCCCGCCCCCTCACTTAAGGTGACCCCTTCTGTGCAGGGAGGTTTGGGTCGGGTAAGGCCCAGCGGAGTCCCTGACTGGGCAGGGTTCGGGGTCTCCCTCTGGGAGGCCCAGAACTAGAAGTTTTTTCCAAGGTCCAGCCTCTCGTGCAGAAGCGCTGTGCTCACAGGAGGGAGACCGAGAGCCCGCGGAGAGGGGGCTGGAGACAGAAAAAATGGAAGAAATAAGAGAGAGAGAGATGAAATGTAGAAGGTGGGGGGGGGGAGTCAAGAGAGAATAAAAAAGATGAAGACAGTGGAGTGTGGGGAGAAGAGAGAACTGGAGAGGGAAAAGGTCCACTAGAGATAGAGAAAAGAGGGGGACTCCATTGGAGAAGTTTTCATCCACAACGGAGCCTCCGTGGCGTTGCTGGCAGAGAGAGCCCGGGCAGTGTCCTGTGCCCCTGTCCTGTCCCCTCGGGCTCCATGGCTGTGCCAGGCCCCAGGGAGCAGTTCCAAAGCCCCCAGGTCCACCCCTCTCTTCATTCTCTGCCCCTCCCCCTGTCTTTGTTCCCTGCTGAGGAATCCGAGCGGGTGGGGGTGTATCTGGGGAGGGGCCCAGGGACCCTAGCACCACTTTACCCTGGCCTTCTGACACCTGAGTTCTGCCCCCTCCCTAAGGCCGTGACTCCCTTCTTGGGAACCTGGGAAGACAAGGGGGATCAGAAAAGAATTTCCACTGACCAGCCCCCCATATTGAAACCAGTGATGCCTGGATTCCAGGTTCTAGCTGAGTGTGCCTCCCCAAGGAGCAGGTGGTTGCTCTTTGGCACCCTCTCAATCCTTGGAGAGCTCCCACCCTGGTGTGGGAGTGACCTCCCCTTTACAAAGGGACTCTGGTTTCAGGGTGGTCTCAGTGCCCACCCCCAGAAAGTCCAAGTTTCCATCCCTTCTTGTAATCTTGATTTGGGGTCTCCTCAATTTCCCTGAAATGTAACAAATAAACTTCGGTCCTTCTGGGGGTGTTTCTGAAAATAGTCTCTCTGTGTGGGATGTGTCCTCCCCTTGACCCTGGGAACCATCCCCACCACCACCACCACACACAACCTCTTGGGCCTGCTGAGATCTCTCTTATTTCGTGAGATGCGGGTTCAGGTGGCTTCCCACCATAGCAGAAGGAAATGTCTTAGTGTCTTGTGGCCACATGAATGAAGTTGGGTACTTGGGGCTTAGTGGGCTCAGGAGCAACCCCACATCATCCTAGTGCCTGAGCCCCGTGTGGCCACGGCAAGGGTCCTTCTGAGCACCTAAGTCAGCACACATTGCAGACATCCCTGCCAAGTCTACCACCTCCTTCTAGGATACACACCAGCTTGACCTCCCATCCCATCAGCCAGGACATGCCCTCTCACCAGGCAGGCAGGTCTAGCTGCATCAGGAGCCCTGATGGGTCTACAGTCTAGAGAAACTCCTAGTTTAACCGTCTCCCCCTGCCCCAAAGACCAGGCAGAGCATGGGTCTCTGTACCCTCAAACCTCCCTCCCCGCAGAATCACAGGTCTGGCTGTGTCCTTATGTGTTCTGTGGGAGTGTGAATGTGGGTTCAAGTGGTAGAGCTCTGGGTTTCCTGGTCAGGGGTGCAGGGGTATGTGGGGATGGATCAGTATCACCTGGGTGGAACTGGATTGTAGAGGATGTCTGTGGGGGATGCTTAGGTCCTGGTCTGCTCCGGAGTGCTCCAGGAATCCTGGGGCTGGGGGCCTGACTTGGGCTGCTGGAGGCAGGGAGTGTTTCTGGGCTTGGTTCCCAGGGTGTAAAACACACCCTACGTCTTGTCCCCCTATTTCTGTGCCATTTGTATGCTTTCTTGGGAAGCTGGTAGGCAGCTGCGGCGGGGAGGTCCTTCATTTTGTGCCTTTGTTTGAATTTTTTGCGCAGTTTCCTTGTCTCTCCGCTCCGTTCATTTCGTTTCCTCTCTTGGTCTCTGGGTGTGAAAATGGGCACATTTTTGTGCTGTGTGTGCTTGGAGACGTGCAGTATTGGAGTGCTTCCCTGGACTGTAGATCTCAGCCCTTATGTCCCGGCCTCTCTCTACATCCTGGTGTATTCCGCTGTGGACCGTGCTAAAAAGTCCAAGGCCCTGTATAAGGGATCTTTCTTGGTTCCTGGCTGTGGGTGACTCCAGGGGGAGGGCGCTGGCCTCACAGTTTGGATCTGGGGATCAGGTCCCCAAAACAAACCCCTGTGCCGCTCTCCCTCCTGCAGCGAGCGACCGGGACTCTCCGGAGACGGGAGAGGAAATGGGCCGCGCGGAAGACGCCTGGCAGCGGGGTCCCGGACCAGGAACACTGCATCAAGAGGCGGCAGAGCTGGCGGCGCGGGGTCAGGCGGCCGGCGCGGAGGAGGCGGTAGTGGCGGAGCTGGCCGAAGCCCCCGCGGCGACGGCAGAGGCACGCGGCGTGGGCGGCGGTGGCCGCAAGAAGAAGACGCGCACAGTCTTCTCCCGCAGCCAGGTCTTCCAGCTTGAGTCCACTTTCGACCTGAAGCGCTATCTGAGCAGCGCCGAGCGCGCGGGCCTGGCCGCCTCGCTGCAGCTAACCGAAACGCAGGTGAAGATCTGGTTCCAGAACCGTCGCAACAAGTGGAAGCGGCAGCTAGCGGCAGAGCTGGAAGCAGCCAGCCTGTCCCCGCCGGGCGCGCAGCGTTTGGTCCGCGTGCCGGTGCTGTATCACGAGAGTCCCCCAGCCACTGCCGCCGCCGGAGGGCCGCCTACAGCGCTGCCCTTCTCGCTCGGCCCTGCAGCTCCCGCGCCGCCCCCGCCGCTGCTCGGCTTTTCAGGGGCCCTTGCCTACCCACTGGCTGCCTTTCCGGCCGCCGCCTCCGTGCCCTTCCTGCGGGCGCAGATGCCCGGCCTGGTGTGAGCGCCTGCCGCCGACCTTCGCGGCCGTGGACCTCTGCGCATCAGCCCTCGGTAGCGCGGTACGACCATGCTGCACGCGGCCAGAATGGAAGGGGAACTGCTCCAGCCGGGGTCCTCGAGGCAATGCCAGGCGCCCACCCGAGAAGCAAATTCGGCAAGCCCCCTGGAACTGCTCCCTGGACCTGGCCCGGCTCTCTCAACAGACACTCCATACACAGACCGTTCACGTGCTGTGAGACCCTTCCCTCCTAAGTTGCCCCTCCAACACCAAACATCCCTCTCTGGGCACTAAGGGACCTGGGCAGCAAGCTGACCGGCGGACCCAGAATTAGACTCACTACAACCTCTCCCTCGGGGGCCACTCCAGAGGGAACAAACCCCTGCGGGGTGCAACTGAGGCCAAAGGCTTGCCTGACTCCCCCTACCCCTGGGAGTGAGGGCTGCACTCTCCCGCATGGGGCCTCTCCCCTGGTCAGCAATTTTTTTTTTTTTTAATTGAATCTCCTTATTTACGTATGGAATAAAAGGGACGTTTTCTGGACGGTTTCTGCTGCTTTGTGTTCACTGGGACTGGCTCCTCAGCTTTTTGGGGGTCTCATCCCTCCCTCATCAGCAATCATCAGTCCTATGAGCAGAAAGTGGACCCCGCTCGGAGCTCCGGCCAGGCCAGGCCAGGCACAGGTGGGCAGGCAGACGTCTGAGTTTGGTGACGGAGCTGGATGAAGAATGGTGTCAAGCTTGACAGGTATAACAAGCCATGAGGTCGGTCATAGCCGAATGGCAGGTCACTAGCATTTGGTTACATGGGACCAGATTCATTCATGACTCTCTGAGCCTCACACCGAGTTCACCTTTCAGGGGAAACAAAACAAAAGCTCTGGGTGAGGCTGGGGGAGGGCAACACTCCGAGGTGGAGTCCCAGTCTCAGATTTGTTGGGAGATTCAGGGATCGTAGTGCAAGGCGCCCAGCTGCCAGCAAGCATGCAGGAGTTCTCCAGGAAAGCAATTTCAATAGCCCAAGACTCCATCTATCCACTACCTGCCAGTTTTCGGGTGTGGACAGGGACACGTGGGCACTAGAAAAGGATGGATGCTTTATTTAGGGTGGGTCTGAGCTGAGACAGGGATCCCTGGGGATTGGGTGGCAGAACCAAGCTCCCTTCTCTGTTTTGACCAAGTAGAGAGGCATGACTGGCCATCATCCCAGCCTGGGGTTCTCATAAAGGGTGTACTCCTTCCTAGGCACTCGATAGGTCTCCTCTCAGACAGATGGTCCATCTATCAGTCTGCCCAGGCCACACGGACTCCCAGAATCTTTTCCCTGACCCAGCTGCCCAGGCCAGGATAGCTCAGAGGATCCTCCTTGGATAGATCTGTGGTCTTCTGAACCCGCAATTCCTCGTGATTAGTCCAGAATTCCTGGTGATTAGACATTAGGCTGTTAACTTCAAGGTCGGTGGTTCAAACCCACCAGCAGCTCCTCAGGAGAAAAATGAGGTTGTCTGCTCCCATGCAGATTTATAGCCTTGGAAACCCTCTCCTCTGACCTACAGCTAGAGTGTTTCTATGAGTTGTAATTGACTTGACAGTTGTGGGCTTTGTTTTGGTTTGGGTACTGAAGGCTTAACTCTCAGGGACTCTTTGGAGGTTCGTGGGTAGGGGGCTGTAACTTTTCATCCTGTAAAGTCACCCAACACACACACACTTCACCATCCCTCCTCACATCACACTCCCAGGCCCTTCCAGATGTGAGTCTGTCCCTCTCCTCAGATGGGCCCGTCTGTAGCTGTTTCCCTCGGCTTGTCCCTTGTCCCGGAGGGAGGGATTTATAATCCACTTCAATGAAATTATTTTGTTACAATTTACTATTTTTAGCATGTTGTTGTTGTTGTTATGTTCCATCGAGTCGGTTCCGACCCATAGCGACCCTGTATAGGGCTTCCGAGGGTGTAAATCTTTACGGGAGTAGAAAGCCTCATCTTTCTCCCGCGATGTAGCTGGTAGTTTCGAACCGCTGACCTTAAGGTTCGCAGCCCAATTCGTAACCACTACGCTACCAGAGCTCCTTATAGCATAGTGGTTACAAATCTCAAGGTCGGCAACTCTACCAGCTGTTCTGCTGGAGGAAGACGAGGCTTTCTGCTCCCATAAAGATTTACAGCCTCAGAAAACCTGTACAGGGTCGCTATGAGTCGGAACCAATTCCATGGTACTTAACAACATCAACAAGGGATTGAAGGTTGGGCTCTTGGTCACAGTGGGATTAGAGAGGTAGTGGTGTCCCCAGAGGTCCATCTCTCCCTGTCCCTCTCTCACCATGGGGTTGTTCCAGCCTAGGCTTCCTGACCAGGCTTGCCTGGGACGCTGGCCCTTTGTCACCTTTTCTGTTGATTTTTTGTTGTTGAGCTGTGGCTAAGGAGACCTCACATGTTACCAGTAAAAACTGCTCCACAGGGTTTTCTTGGTTGTAATCGGTACTGTAGCAGATTTCCAGACCTTTCTTCCGCAGTGCTGCTCATTAGTTCCAATGCCAATATTTTGTTACTAGTCAAGGGCAAACTTTTGCACAACCGCTGGGAAGGGCTTTGGGCCTCTTGTCACTCACCAAGTCTTCCTCACATGACTCAGTTCTGCAAGAATGCCCTCCAAGCTGGTTTAGGACAAAGCCCCAAGGTCCGGCGCAGACGCGCCAAGGTACAGAGCTGTCTCTCTCGCCATCCTTGTGGTCAGCTGCAGCCCGCAGGCAGCTTTGTGTTGTCAGGTCAGGGGACTCTCAGACCCCAAGAACAACTCCTCTCAGCACGAGGTCATGAAGACCGAGTTCAAGGGGTGATCACCTGCAAGCAACCGTTCTGTGACTTCGAGCGGCTGAAAAGAGCCCTAAATGGCTCTGTAAGTTACGCGTTGGACTGCTAAAGTGATTCCAACCCACTAGGCCCTCCGAAGGAGGAAGATGAGACCGTCTGCTTCCATAAAGATGTAGTCTCGGAAGCCCTATATGGGTGTCTCTGAGTTTGAATCAGCTCATTGACAGTAGTTTCTTGGGTGGTTAGGCGTCTTTCGAGGTCTCACGGTGTCGCTGAGAGCTGAGGAGAAGCCCAAAACCGATCATCGAGGGGCGCCCTGTGTGGGGGAGCTTTGTGTGGGCGGCGTAAACCGCGCTGGGGAGAGACTTTGCGCAGGACTTCGGCACGCAGGAAGGGGAAGGACCTTGTGTGAGCCGGGACTAGAGCCTTCTCTCCGCCGTTCCTAGGAATCCGGAGCTTGATTGCTAGACCTGGACTTGGCAGCCAACTGTGGGAGGGAGGCAGGGTCTATGTGATTACAAAGCGCGGTGGATTCCGAGAGAAGGAGCTGGTCTTTCGTTACAATTGTCAGAAGGTTACCGTGGAGAGCGGATTCCGTCCCTCCAAGACTCCAGACTCCGGCATCGGAGGGAGGGAATGGGAGGCGGAAGAGGAAGTTGAGGGTTGTTCCCGGAGCGCGGGGCAATACCGGAGTCCTGGCCTCTTCAAGGCTGATAACGTCTCCAATAACGAAAGCAGATCCGCAGTTGCACAAAGCCCACCGAGCCCTTCTCCGTAACGACTGACTTGGCTCCGGCGCCACGAGGGTCGCTCCAGCGACAGCGTTGGCGAGAGCGAAACGGTGCGGAATCCGCAGCCCACGAAGCCCAAAGGGCGCGCGGCCAGGAGAGGACGCCCCGCCCCTTTGCGCCCACCTCTAGCGCCATCGATCGCGGGCAAACCTCGAGCGAGTTGGCTCCGAGGCTGGCAGAAGATGAATGACATCGATCCGTCTCCACCGCGCGCGCGGCCCCACTCCGGACTCTCTTCGCCATCCCCACCTTCTCCAGCGAGACCCTGTTCCAGCCGATGCGCGAAGCGCGGGGCTCCACTGGCAACGTTGCCTTGAACGAGGCCTGTAAACAGGCTTTGGACGCTGGGGCATCAGCTTTGATAGAAGTCTGAACACGCAACCCCTGACCTTGGGGAAGCCTCATCCGCTCTGGGGCCTCAGTTTCCCCATCTAAGGTGGGGTGCACACCTGCTCTGAACCTTGCTGGGGAGGGACTTCTAGGCTCTCACTCTTTGAGGGATTGTGATCCTCCCTCAAGTCCTTGCGCCTTCAATCCAGAGGAGAAGCAGCTCCCTCGGAGACCCAGAGCCGATGCCGACCCTGAGACCAGAGAGGTGCCAAGATATGTCCTCCTCGAAGGGCAGATGTGGATTTGACATAGCCCCAGAGCCCGGTGGGACTGGTCCCCAGCTCCATGGAAGTGGTCCCTGCTCTAATGTGCCTCCGGTGACCACACCAAACAAAGTGGCAGTGCCTGGTCCTGGAGGGTCGAACTGGGCCCTTTTTCCTGGTGATTCCTGACTACTTCCCACCCCACACAGGACATGGGCATTTGGGGCTTATGCACCCCCAGCCAACACTCCCAAGAAAGCCCCCCCCCCCAACACACACACACAGCTCCAGTGGAACCTTGTTAGGCTCCTAGCTGCAGCCGCAGCCTGATGGCACCCGGTGGTCTCCCAGAGCTGAGGCTCTGTGCAGAGTGCAATCGATTGTGTTGAGGCCACAAAGTCCCAGGTGCACCCAGGGTGGGCTTCAAGGGCAGGTGGGAGGGCCTGTTGGCAGCATCTCTCTTGTCTCTGTGTCTCTGGACCCTGTGAAATCTTCCAGCCCCTCCTGGCAACTCACTGATGAGGGAAATTGATGCTTTTGAGAGAGAAACACCGCCAAGTCACCCAGTCACAAGATCCACAGCTGCTTGCTTCTCACCCTGGGCTAGGGAGGTCTCCCCTTCAGGCCCCCCCTGCCGCCGCTGTCCCTAGCCATCCTTCCCAGACTCAAACCTGCAACTGGGGCCACTCCCAGAAAGCCCCCAAACTCCAGAGACACCCTCCCCTCTCACATCTCTGTACCTACTGACCACTAAGTTCCTTCCTCTGGTTCTGGTAGAAACTGAGGGACCTGTGACCCAGAATTGCAAGG